CCTTGAAGATAATGCAGTGGTACAGTCTCAAGAGATAGCAAACATATGGTCTAACTGATCCTGAGCCTTGAGTGGAAGCAACAAGTCATTGTTCACCTACTGAACTTTATTGGTACATCAATTCCCAACTAAGGCAAAGAAAGCACTGGGGCTACAATCATATGCACATTTTCCTGCATATTTTTTCCACTGAATGCTATTGTGCCCAAGCAGAGAGGTATAAGATTATAAAGGGGGTGGGGAAGCAAAGTGCAGCATGTGGACCACTTGCGTCCCTCAAGAGTCCCACTACTAATTTTTCCCCAAAAAAGCTGCCCAGTAAGTTTCCTTGTATGCTCTTAGGGCAGTTTGCTGTGTTTGAGAGACTTGGCGCCACTGGGGCCCCATGCACACATGCATCCCATTTTCTTAAACAACAACAACTAGAGGCTGTAAGGAAGGTTTTTCACTTTAAAAAAAGGTTCTGTACCTTGATTCTGTACCAATCGCTTTTGGAAATTTTCATCAAGTTGGCCTAGAGATGTTTAGGATGCCTTGCATGTTTTCCTTCCAGAGGCTTTGATGCTGCTCCAAATTCCTCTGCCCCAAACACCTTTAACACTATCTCCTCTTAGGAAACAATTTGCCAACCTGATCAATAACTGGAATTTACAGAAGGGACTGAATGCTGCTGCTAATTAGGCCCCAAACTGAGCACAAATTTCATAGCTAACCAGCCAAGGCAGGAGCTACAACTCAATGGTAGAGCATGTGCTTTACATATAGAACATATCAATCCCTGGCATATCCAGCCAAACGGATCAGGTAATGGGAAGGGCCTCTGTGGTTGGGGCTGTCATATGTCAGTTCTCCAAGTCTTGGTACCCTATTTTGCATATCCTGCAAAACAAGCATTCTCTTTTGCATAATATGTAAATTTGCATATTATTAAGCATATTAATATTTGTATTGTTTTCCTACATAAGAATTTTAGTCTTGGCATCACTGCAAGCTTGGAATAATTTATATTCCCTTTCTTTTTTTCTCCTTTTCTTCCTCTTTTGCTGATGCCAATTCTTTCTTTCCTCAGGGTGGCACCTTGCTAAGCTCCCAAATAAGCTCCTAGAAGGCCTATGGGAGATAAAAATAAACTTGATGTTTCTGGAAGGCCATATATTCACAGACTCAGAGATTTATAGGGCTGGAAGGGATTCCAGGGGTCACTGAGTCCAACACCCACTGCCAAAACAAAAAACACATCCAGACCTTGGAAAAGTTCCCTTTTTGGACTCTAGCTCTCCCAGCCAGCATTCATTGCTAGGGCTTCATTGCTTTCTATGGACTGTTTGAAGGCAGTTCTGCCAACCTATTTCAACTGTTCGCTCACCGGTTCAGACCAAGCATTCACATAATTGCAAGATTAACTAAGAGCCTTTACCCAGTCTCTCCAAAAATCCTCTTAAACTATGGATGGCCTCACTGTTTCAAAGGAATGCTAGGTAAAGGTAAAGGTTCCCCTTGACAATTTTTGTCCAGTCGTGTTCGACTCTAGGGGGCGGTGCTCATCCCTGTTTCCAAGCCATAGAGCCAGCCTTTTGTCCGAAGATAATCTTCTGTGGTCACATGGCCAGTGCGACTTAGACACGGAACGCTGTTACCTTCCCACCGAAGTGGTCCCTATTAATCTACTCGCATTTGCATGCTTTCGAACTGCTAGGTTGGCGGGAGCTGGGACAAGCGACAGGCGCTCACTCCGTCGTATGGATTCGATCTTATGACTGCTTGGTCTTCTGACCCTGCAGCACACAAAGGCTTCTGCGGTTTAGCCCGCAGCGCCACCACGTCCCTCTGGATGGCCTCACTGTTTGAAAGGAATGCTAGAGGTGACCCATCTTTTGGAAGGCAATGTGGACATTGAACACAGGCAAGCCTCCTTTGATTCAGCATTGTTCACCTGGACTGCATGGCACCCCCAGAGGGCAGGACACAGAGCTAAAATTCACCGGTGCCACTTGCTACATATTTGAGCCTATTTGCTTGGTATGTACTTCCATGCTCACTGCAAGCATGCTGAAGGGATCGCGTGTTTTGCTGTGAACAGAATTCTCAGTGCCCCTGCAAATCTTAGTTGAGATGATCATAGCATGCAGGCTGCTATCCAACACACATTTTCCTGAAAATAATGCTCGCTGAACTCAGTGTGACTTATTTCTGAATACATGTGACGTGCCAGAAGTGGCATCCTTGCAACACAAAGGTTACCTTCAGAAAAGATCTCTCTTCCAAAAAAATGAGTGATTTATTTCATGACTGGCTGCAAACATTGTAAAGACAAGCTCACCACTGGAAGGTGAACAGAGTTTCAAATGGGTTTACAGGTGACACAGGTTGGCCTAGGGATGCCCAAAGGTATCATGGAAGAGTGGGAACTGGAACCTGGACCTCTTGTGTCCCACACCTGATCAAGCTCACAATCCAGATGTACCTCAGCAGTTAACTGTAATTAGTCCCGAGGTTGATATTAAAGAACTTTTTATACATTCCTTTAAAATCAGAGTGGGATCCTCTCTAAATCTAGCTAGGACGGATGGGTGTTGTAGTCCAACAACATTCTAAAGTCCACAAGTTGCTCACCCTTACTTTAAACAGTGCCTGTGATCACAGGCCTGCAGTGGACAACAATCCACAGGTGCTTTAGCCACACTCTTTGAAAACATCTTGTGTCCCACACCTGATCAAGCTCACAGTCCAGATGTACCCCAGCAGTTAGCTGTTATTAGCCCCGAGATTGATATTAAAGAACTTTTTATACATCCCTTTAAAGTCAGAGTGGGATCCTCTCTAAGTGTGTGTGTGTGTGTGTGTGTGTGTGTGTGTGTGTGTGTGTGTGTGTGTGTGAGAGAGAGAGAGAGAGAGAGAGAGAGGAGAGAGAGAGAGAGAGAAGAAATAAAGAACTCTGTTAATTTAGCCAGATATTGTTGTGGCCAGAGTCTGTGGTTACTCTGTTCCAGTGTTAGTTAGCAATTAGGTACTATGGAGTTTTTAAGGAATTGTTCTCACAGTTAGGGAACATTTTCTAATACCTAACCTAAATCTGTTTTCTTGTGGCTTAAATCTTTTAAGCTGATCACCTCCTGTTCCATGCTTAGAGCAGGAAACAAAGCACTCTGTCTTATTTCTGGAAGCCTTTTAAATATTTGAATACTCTTATCACATATCCCTTTTCATCTTTCTCTTTTCTCCATAGTCTGCAGAACATACCTGGTTGTGTTTTAACTTTTCCTCATTGATCAGTGAAGGGTGTTATCATGAGATCTGTCCCACACAACAAAATACCCGAAAGAGGCTTGAAAGCAAGAGAAGGGCAATGGCTTTATTAATAACATCTGTGTCCCATCATGTCAATTCTGACTAAGCAGCAACAGTTTTCAGAGTTTTATAGGTAGAGAGCGGTTGTTGTTTCCTTCTTCTGGGGGTGCCCTGAGACTGTGTGACTTGCCCAAATCCACAGAATGGCACAAAGGAAGGAACAAGACTTCCCCCCAGATCCATTATTCTGGTTGGATATTCATATGTGTTCACATATATGCACATACGCACGCACACACACGAGCACACAGAGTGTGCCAGGGATCAAGAGAGAAAAATATTATCCCTGGTCATGGTGAGGGTGAAGAAAACTCCCAATTAGAGATGGGCAAGACCCATCTCTGAATTGGCAGTTTGTGCTGGTTTGTTTTTTGGCTGAACAGATGTTTGGGGGTTCCCAGCCCCACCTCCTCTGGTGGACACCCACTTGAAGGCAGCATCTGGAGGAGGCTGGGCAGGGAAGCCACGGTGCATGCCCGCTGGAGGATGCAGGGCTGGGAACTGCTAAACACCTGTTCAGCCAAAATAACTATGTTTTGTGCCCATCTCTAATCCCAATCCTTAATTTAGAGTAAGGAAAGAGTAGATTTAAATGCAATCTTACGCAATGTACAAGTAAATGTTTTCCACTGAACACAGGTATTGCAGCTGAGCAAATAGCTTGAACAGTTTTCATTGCTGCAGATATAAATTATAATTGTGGCAGATAGGAAAAGATACTAGACTGTGCCAGAAAAAGTTTCTTATCTAGCGCATAGGAGAAAAAAAATCACATGCCAGCTTTCCTCATTCCTTAGAAAGAACACTTGCCTGCTAGAAGAACATTGTGGTGAAATTTTATTTATGACCTTCATGGATTTACTTCTGACTTACCAGAAACTGCACCATCTGACAGTATTTTCTCCTTTGTTAAAAGTGTTGTACTATTAGGTTTAAGATTCACAAGGCTGTTCATCCATGACTCTCACTGAGTGATCTTGGGACATGCACTTCTTAGCCAATCCTACCTCACAGGGTTGTTGGGAGGATAAAAGGGACATCACTTTGAACTCCCAACAGGAAATGTATTATATAAAAATATCTTATACATAAAACAAATATTCGCCTTCTGGAAAGTTTCAACATTTTGTATGTGTCTTTACCGGAGGCCAGGTTTTAGGAGTGTCGTTAATTTAGCAAAGGGGGATGCACGATCCTTTCAGATGTCACCATTGGCTATACTAGTTAGGAATGATGGGAGTTGTAGTTCAATAACAGGGCTGCTCCTAGGGAGAAGGCTTTCTGCTGAGTTCTTCTCTCCAGGTTTCTGCAATGAGAATTTTTGCTAAAAACATTTCTCTGGCAGGCATTGAACCATCCCTGTATCAAATCTGATCTGCAAGACCTTTCGTTGCCTTCCTTAGAGACTGAATTGTTCTTTCTCCTTTACTTCTGCATTGTGTACTGAAACCTTTGAGGCAGTGTTTAGTTTCTGTTCCTGAGCCTCTCTGTGCCAAATAAATAACCATCTTTCCTTCTTTTCTCTGGCTTCTTTCCAAGCTGTTAATAAGGTGCCAGAAGCCAAAACCACAGTTTTACAAACTGCCTAGCAACCTTATGCAGAGGCAAAGAGGAAACAGGTAAAATAATTCTTTTCCCTACTTAAGTTGCTGAAATGTGCTGGAGCAGTCTGATTTGCATAGTTGCCTGTGAGTGGCAGCCCTCTACATTCATGGGTTTGATAATCTACCAGGCTCATTACCTGGGAGGGAGAAGTCCTGAAATATACCTTGGATCCTCAGATTTCATCTTCTGCCTTTTGTCTTCCTGAGAGGAAGGAGAAATTCGGCCCTCTGCTTATAACAAAGACTTCAGGGTACAAAACCCCTTGAGATCTCACCTTCACCACCACCATGACTATCTTTTTGGCTGTAAGCTTTTGCCTCTTGGTTGCTTTGGAACCTGTGAACTGTCAAAGAGGTAAAAACATGTTATCTAACTTCTTTGGTTGATTGTTGATTTGTCTTCTAATGAGAGCTGAGCACCTACATGCCAACTATTTTTTTTTGTAAAATAATTTTCTTTGAATAAATTGTATTTAGCTTATGAAACCTACATCTGAATTATTTCTGAATAACCCTATTATATGTTTGATTTTGTTAAATGTAATAATGATGATTTCACAAAACTAACTTTACCAAAGGGCTTATTAAATGCTAGCAATGATTATTTGGATGAAATGTTTCACAACTCCTTTCCCAAGCCTGCATTAGTCCCCGATTCATCATTCATATGCTTTAAGCAATATAAAAATCTGATAATGAATGGATGCCTATTACCAATATTTGCTAATTCACATGCTCACCCTGAATTTATGAGCACCATATATCCGCATACACTGCTTCAACAGACATCTGGAGAAAGTGTGTGTGTAAGCTATTCTCCTTTCTCATGAATTGCTGCACAGCCTTCAGAAAATGTCAGAGGTTGCTAACTATACTTTGTAGATGTGGTTTGAACCCTGATTTGGAAAACAGGCTTGGAATGATATGGAGGCTGCCTGATTTGATTCAGTTCTCAGTCCTAATTCAGATGAACGACTCTTTGTGCCTTCCATTAAAAAATAATTGTGAATAATTGTCTCTGTCATTAGAAATGGATGACATTTCAAGCTAAAATCAGAGGGATCGTGCAAGGGCATACCAAACAGAAAACAAATAGGTACAGTATAGGGATTGTACAACGTATCTTTATATTCTAATTTTTTTAAGAAAAAAAGAGAATTTTTGTAATTTGTGGCAGAAATGTGGACATTTAGTTGCTTCTTTTAAGGGGACAAAATTCAGTATGTTTTGGATGAAAAGATGCAGGGAGCTTTGAAGAAGTGCAATCCTTAACAGTTGTTTTTTTCAGGAGGGATCCAAAAGAAGATACCATGATCCTTCTATTTGTATGTGAATAAGCACAGTGAAAACAATGTGCAACATATAGAATTGATCTTGCTTATGAAACCTCATAATTTTGTAATTAAGAGCTCCTTGTTTTTTTCTGGAAAGGAGAATGCTCAGATTTGAACTGTGGGTGAAACAACCTCAATTTCTCAGTGGATCTGGGGGAAAAGTCATATGAAAATAACATACCTCATGCAGGTATTCCTAGGCAAGAAACCTTAAGAATTCAGAAAGACAGGTAGAAGAACAAGGTCATTACTATGAATAAAAATAGATTGATCTTTTTTTCTGTTATCTGGTCTTTTGCTTCCCACCATTGGAAGACAGAATTTTGTATGCTACCCTAGCATCAGCCTCAAAACTAGGCCTGTAAATCAGCCTGCTTGCATCAGGTGCAACTTCAATTTCCAGTCCAATGAGCTTTAAACATGTGGACTAGGGAGGGAGGACACCATTTTGTTTTGTTTTTGGCAGCAAAATTCTTTCTTTCTTTCTTTCTTTCTTTCTTTCTTTCTTTCTTTCTTTCTTTCTTTCTTTCTTTCTTTCTTTCTTTCTTTCTTTCTATCTATCTATCTATCTATCTATCTATCTATCTATCTATCTATCTATCTATCTATCTATCTATCTATCTATCTATCTATCTAAAGATCGATCGGTCCGTCCGTCCGTCCGTCCGTCCGTCCGTCCGTCCGTCCGTCCGTCCGTCCGTCCGTCCGTCCATCCATCCATCCATCCATAGAGTTCAAAGTGGTGTATATGAATCTCCTTCTCTCCACCACTTAATCCTCACAAAAATAATGTGAGGTTAGTCCAGCTGACAGTGAGTGAGGTCACCCTGTGAGGGCACATCCAGACAGGCATGTATCTTGCTATTTGAATCACTTTTGGTACTGTTGGGTTTGATACAAATTACAGCGTCCACATCTGTTTTGACTTAGAGCAATTAATCCTGTCTCTTTTTAGACCTGCCCTGCTTCTTTTTGGCAGAGTGCTAGGGCTACAATTTTCAGGGAGTGTATGTGTGATTCAGTGCACTCCTGATTATTTCATTTTGTAGCCTGTGTGGATGGTTAGTTTGCACCCAAATAGAGCTGTAGGTGATGTTATCTTATCAACTCTGTGACATATTTAGTGGATTGTGGCACTGAAAGGGATGATGGAGCAACCCCCCTCCTCTATTTTCAGTTACTCTACTGTTTTAAATTTGTTTAAATATAATTCCTTATTGATGCACTACTATTCTAGATAAACAAGATACGTTGGTGGTATTGTGTGTACTATGTTAAGTAGATGCATCACTGTTGCATTATGTCACTTAATTTCTATAACAAAAACCGGAAAGTTGCTGTGGGCTGCTGAATGGCTGTGGGAAAAGGCACAGAAGGAAGTGGGAAGGAGAGTGTCATTAATCAAAATTGGAATGGTCCAAAGACCTGTCTGGACCCTTCTCATGGGAGAAGAAATGTTGTGAATTGAAGGATTGCTTAAGAAAGAGATAAAAGAGATCACATTAAAGGTAAGAATCTTTTAAGCGTGAACTAGACTACTCCAACTTCCTCTGTCTGGGCATGTCCTGAGTTGATACAGATAGCCTGTGGAGAAATGCATTCACTTTTCAAAACATGCTGTTAGTGCCTGTGTCCAAATCTAAATTACAAACAAATCTTCAAGAGTGTTTGAATACAGATATGGCCATCTTTGGACATGCTTTGCTGTAATCTCCCAAATCTATGCAAATCAGCACAATTTGATTCAAGATTTGGGATTTTTCTGCATTTCAAGAATATTTTTACTGTATATTATACTGTAATCTGTATTCAGAGATTACAGTAGTATACCTAATGTGTGCTGCTATGAGTTTTTAGAAAGAAGAGAGGCAGAGTATAAATTTAGTAAACAAAAAAAATACACATATGGGCAACTGATCAGATGTGAGAAAGGTATGCATCTGATATCACCTGAAGTGGTCGCTTTGCTGAGAGCAATCTCTCTTAAGAAACCGTTTCTTCCATCAAATAATTGCTCTAGCCTGCCCCCGAAAGGATGTAGCCCTATTGCTGGACCAAAAAAGGTTGGGCTGAAGTGCTATTCACCACATGTCATGTGACTGCCGGGAAATCACTTGCACCACAAGTAATCCATTTTGCTAAATTCCTTTGTGGTCACACCCAAAGTTGGGAGCTTAGATGCACTAGTTATATATGCAAATAAAGAGCTATAATAGAAGGATGAAGCAACACAGCATTAACTGACACAGTGCAGCCAGGATTACCTACAACAATGCTATATAAACATTTTCTGAAAACATTGTGTTGGTTCCTGGCAATAACAATGAACTTTCCAAAGGATGTAGACACCTTTAAAGAACAATTACACCACCAGCAAGAAATAGTACAGTGAAAAGCTCACTAGTGAATGTAATCAAGTTGAAACATTGTAGATGATGTGACCAGATACAACATCTCTGGCTATGTGATGGAGCACTGAACTAGTAATGCAAGAAGTTTAAATATTACAACATTGTTTACTGGATTACCAGGGCCAACCTAGGTGGTACGATCCTGCTCCAAAAAAGAGTGTGGAAGTTTTATTGAAGAGAAACTGTGCAGAGTCCCATCAGCACATATTCTTTGTAACTTACAGGAGTGGGAAGTTTTAAAAAAAACAAAACCAACAACAACAACCCAAATATATATTTGGTCTCACCCTGCTTTCTCTGTAGATGCAGTTTTGTTGGAGTAGTTACTAAAGATTGCGGGTGCCAACCCATGAAAGTAGCATTTGCCTTGTTTGTTGTTTTTGTTTTCTTAAGTGCTTTTATGTTGCTTTCACCTTTTGGTGAACATATGAAAGAGTACTCTCTAAAACCTCCTGTTCTCAATAGCCTTGCCCAGCTCTTGTAAACAAAAGCCTTTGTCTTCCTTTAGGGAGTCGATCCCGCTCTTATTTGGTCTTCTTTTCCTGCTGTCTTCAACCTTTCCCAGCATGATTGTCTTTTCCAGATAAACCTCCCTTTTCATTATGTGCCCAAAGTAGTATTTTTGTTATCAGAGATTATGATGTATTCTAGCTGCTCACTTGCCTCAGGCTTGTCACAGTACTCTCACTTCCATACATCACGACAGGAACATATGAAAGAGTACTCTCTAAAACGTCCTGTTCTCAATAGCCTTGCCCAGCTCTTGTAAACAAAAGCCTTTGTCTTCCTTTAGGGAGTCGATCCCGCTCTTATTTGGTCTTCTTTTCCTGCTGTCTTCAACCTTTCCCAGCATTATTGTCTTTTCCAGATAAACCTCCCTTTTCATTATGTGCCCAAAGTAGTATTTTTGTTATCAGAGATTATGATGTATTCTAGCTGCTCACTTGCCTCAGGCTTGTCACAGTACAAGTATTACCATAACGGAGGAATAGAAGCTCCCATAATGTCTCATCATTGGCTTTTTTGGGTAGGACTGGTGGGATTTAAAGTCCAACAAAACCTGGATAGCCAGAGGTTTCTGCCAGTTGCAAAATGCATTATTGACTGTTGTCAGTAATGGTTGTTCATCAAAGACACCCCCAATTTTGTCCTATAAGAAGAGTTTAAGATTGGGCATGATTGGTAATTTGAGTTACCAGCCAGAATCTTAGGATGGGCTAGGAATAAATGCTATTTGAAGCCCTGATGGGACACTGCCAGCCTGAATTAACAATCCTGGGTTAAGAAAACCAAGGGTTTGATCCAGTGTAAGGCAGCTTTGATCAAAGATGCAACAATATTCTGCCTCAAGGAACCAGATGCATGGTAGAATCCAAACATGCTATTCTCCCCTATTGAATTTCATCTACAAATTTTTGAGAACAATCCTCTGTGGCCAGCTCTAACTTTGAGAGTTGGAGTTCATTCCATTACAGTTGAATTTCTGTGACACTCAAAGGTTCAACTGCTGGGTTTCTGCTTGTTAGTCTTCTGGTAAAGCACAAGTGGCAAATAAAGATCTCTAGATGTTGTTGAGATCTCTAGCTCCGATCAACCTGAGCCAGCATAGT